TATAGTTTCTAACTTTTCACTTTTAAAACTTTTAAAGTCAAGCTTCTTACTAATGAACTTCCTATATCTTATATATTGTATAAAGAAATACTTTTTACTCTAATATCTGTTATACTGTATATATTAACAAACAAGTACTATACTATACTGAATTATATGTTTTTTTTTTAACCTCCTTTATACACTTATACAAAACTCATTACAACAAATCTTAACTGTTTACAAACTTCAAATTCCTCTATTTCAAATTAACCAACTATACAATTAAATTATTAGTCTTGATAGTTTTCAAATTCACAACTCTTCTGATAAACTATCTATCTTTTTTACACTTTCTAGTTTTGTTCTACTTGATATTATACATACAATATATAAATTTATTATATCCAATTAACTAGCTACTTCAACTTCTTCTCCATATTAACAAACAATTATTCTTAAATATTTAAATTCTATATTGTAGTTCTAAACCTCAACCTTAACTTTTACAATCTCAGCTACTTTTTCTATTTGCACTATCTTATAATACACTTTTTGTATTTGATACTTTTAATACTATCTATCAAACATCTTCTTTAAAAATATCTTCTTGGTATTCTAATTAGATCAAATATTACATATATTTATCATATTGTATATTCTTAACTTATTTCAAATCTAAATAAGCTTTGGCCACTCTAGTAGATTTAAACTGCAGATAAGTTTCTAGATTTATTTAGTTATTAGATTCTTCTAGTTATATATTTGAATTTTTATTCTTAGCATTAGGCTTAAAATACAAAACCTTTTCTAATCATGTAAAAAGGTTTTATTAAGTTTAATAAAGATAAAAGCAAGATCTCACTTTTAATATTAAAAAAAAATAATAATAGCTATAATAAATTTTTTTATTTATTTAACAAAAATTTTATTTTAATTTTATAAACTTGTAAAATTTAAAAAAAATTTATTAAACTTAATTAGTTAAATGCTAAGATATTCTTGTTTAAAATTTTAAAAAAATTTAAAATATTTATAGTATTAAAATACTGTAATAGCTATATTAAAATTTTTATTTTTTTTATTTTATTTTTATTTAAGGTGAGACTATATATTAAAATTTTTTTTTTTTTTTTTTTTATTTTTATTTAAGGTAAGACTATATATTAAAATTTTTTTTTTTATTTTATTTTATTTTTATTTAAGGTGAGACTATATATTAAAATTTTTTTTTTTATTTTATTTTATTTTTATTTAAGATGAGACTATATATTAAAATTTTTTTTAAATTTTAAATAAAAATATTATATAATATTTATTTAATCAAATTTGATAAACTTTTATTAATTTTACAAAACTATAAAATTAAAAAAAAAATTATTAAATTTAGTTAGATAAATGCTAAAATATCTTTGTTCAAAGCTTTAAAAAAAAAATCAAAACATCTATTAAAACAACTATAACAAAATTTGATTAAATTTTTAAACAAAATATCTTAATATTTATTTAATCAATTTTGATAAACTTTTTTTTTTGATTTTACAAATCTGTAGAGTCAAACCAGAAAAAATTTTATCTAATTTGATTAGGTAAATACTGAAATATCTTTGTTTAAAATTTTAAAAAAATTTCAAAATGCATTAAAATACTGTAATAGAAATAATTTTTTTAAATTTTTGAGTAAAGATATCTTAGCATCCATCTAACTAAATTCAACAAACTTTTTTTCTTTTGATTCTATATGTTTATAAAACTAAACCAAAAAAAAAAAAAAATCTATCAGATCTGGTTAAATGGATGCTAAGATATCTTTGCTCAAAGTTTTAAAAAAAATTTGCCGTAGCTGTCATTTTGATAGGCGTTTTAAATTTTTTTCCAACAAAAATTAATAAACATTTTTTCTTTTAATTCTACAGATTTGTAGAATTAATAAAAAAAGCTTATCGAATTTGGTTAAGTGGTTATCGAGATATCTTCGCTCAAAGTATCAAGAACTTTTCTATTATTTTGATAGATATTTTAACCGTTTTAAAACTTTGAACGAAGATTTCTTGGCAACCATTTAACCAAATTTGATGGATTTTTTTTTATTTTGATTCTATATAACTGTAGAACCAAAATAAAAAAAAATTTATTAAATTTGGGCAAGAAGTTACTAGATATCTTTGCTCAAAGTTAGAAAAAATTTTAAATTTTGTGGAGAGTATGAATGATAAAATTGGGAGGTACGTATGTGTATCAGCCGCCTTAAAAAATTATCTAATTTAGCAAGTCTATATATATAGATAGTTGTACAAAAAATTAAAAAAAATTACATGCGTATATAAATTTATTTTTTGCATAGTTAACACGAGTATTTTTTTTTTAAAAAAAACCTAGAACCATAGTAGATCATAGAGTCTGGAAAAATTTTTTGCCACCCTGCATGGCCCGTAAAATAACTTGCTGTTTTTAATCTCGCAAAATAATGTAAAATCTACTATGATTTTTAATTTCGTCTCGCACAGATCTCTAGTGGATCAGGTACATTTTATAAATGGAAGAATAAAAGTAATAAAAATAAACTTCATGCTGAAACATTTTTTTTTTTTTTTCAACCTGTTGTTATCGATTCCAGACCATGATTTAAACCGTTTTCGGAGGAGAGATATACGATATAAAGCTATTCACAATTTTCACAGAACACACTAACGACACTAACATTAAGATTGGCTATCTAATTTTGGAAAAAGTTTGGGAAAACTTTAATATTTTCGGTATATCGATATCTAAATAAATTATGTACGTACGTACTTTTGAATACATGTATTGAGGCTTTAAGAAAAATGTAGACCGATTGGCAATGATTGTAATCCAAGAATTCTAATTGATTAAGTAACAATTTTCTTTACCGATTATAAATCAATTATATAAAAAAATTTTTTAATGATTTCCTAAATGACTAATAATTTCAAATCTGATCAAATTTTACTAGAGATAGAGATGATATCCTTTTTTTTTTACAATATAAAAAAAATAAAATACTTGAGCTAATTTGGATCGTAGTTATCGAGAAAATCTTTACGGTTTTTTTATGATAGTCAATTTTTAATAATTCTATCGTATGCAAAGATTTTCTCATCAACATTTCTAATAAAGGTATGAATCGATTAAAAATATTTGGTTATTAATAATAATAATAATAATAAAAAAAAGATCTAGATGTATAAATCATGATATTCAATACAATAATAATAATAAATAAAAATCGATTCGTTTATTAAACGAGTATAATTAGGAGAGAATTTATAATTGAAAAATATTGTTTAATAAAAGTTTAGTAACCCAAACGAACGTACAATCTACATAAGATCAACAAATGTAAACGATTTAAGATCGTTAGTAACACTATAATTCAATACATATTATACATATTGGTCTACAAAATGGGAAATAAATAATGGTACAGGATAATATTCAAACCAAATGAAATGTTAGGGCATGTTTTTATCACACGGAATTTACCGATTTTAAATAGTTTTAGCGCGGATTAGAGGATATAATGGTTTCAATTGATTTTTTTTTGTTTTACAAAGAAAAACAATAATGAATATTTCTTTAACAAAAATGGATACAAAACTTCGGAAGAATCCGCCGTATAATTAGGCGAATTCCGGGAATAAGTGTTTGTTTCTTTTTCGCTTGTATTTTTTTAAAAAATAAATGAAATAAAAATGCTTTACCAATTTTGGAGAATTTGGAGAAACCTTTTTGGTCCGGGCTTGGGAAAAAAAGCCAAGTAAATTTTTTTATCAGAGATATCGATATCAGATATTATGCACATGTTGAGTAACGTGCATGTGGGAAGATTTTTCTAAAATATCACGTGAGTTTGTAAAGGCCATTATCGTTATCATTTTATCGTTTATCGTTTATCATTTATCGTTCAGTACTTATGAATTTTTTTTATTATCGTCATAATCGTTATTATTATAAGCCATATATATAATTTTATTAGTATTGTACATAATATAATATTGTAATTATTATTATTATTATTATCATTATTATTATTATTATTGATAAAAAAATCCTTAAAAACTACCGCTACGTACAATGAAAAATTAAAATTTAATTGAGTTAATCGAATTTTAAATAAAACAAAAACCTGAACTGGAAAGTAGGCCATTCCGTGGGCAAAACTTTAAACCATTATAACTATATCGATATTGTTCAATTTAAGGTAACACTATAATCTATTTACAGAAAATATAAATATTGGATTACATTGATTTCACGTGAACATTAACATATTTTTAGATGATTAGACGATATCACGTGAAAGCCAAAAATTCAAAAATATCATCTATTTTAAAATTTTAAAGCTAGATTCTCATAAGAGGTTACACATAAAAATCAGCCAAACCGAACGGAAAATTTATGGTCACACTTATTTTACCTAAATGGTGACCCCGAGTCATTTAAGTATTAGTTACAATTTTTTATAAGATAAAAGAATAACGCAAATGATTACAAAACCTTGATTTAAATGATGAAATTTATATATAAAAAATACTTTGATACACATAATGCATGCGTAGTTAGGCGTTCTAATAAATATTAGGAAAGAAAAAAAAAATCTGGGAAAGCCTACATATATCGAATATATCTATATATATATCGAATATCGAATATACTGTTCTATCGATATTGAATATATAGTTATATTTAATTCATATTAAAATTAATTAAATGGTCTTGTGACTCACATTATATAACACTGTGCATCAAAGATATACTCTGCATATCGCTACATATAAAATAATAATGAACATAATTGAATGGAAGTTACATAACATTTAACATTGTAGTCAAATAAGGAAATAACAAAGTGTGGGGTAAAAATTTTGTGGGGTGAGAAAGTTTTCTTACCATTTTTAGTTTAGATAATAGTGAGCGTCTCTAATCATTTTTTTATCACTGACTTTATCACTTGTTTTTAATTGTTTTTCTTATTGAGAATCGCTTCATATAAATCCAATATGAATAAAGTGTTTGTTGGCTTAGTGTTTATAATTTGGGCTCAGATATGTCTCAGAGTTTCAAGCCTCTTCGTTTTCAACTCAATGAAAACCCATGATTTTACAAATGATAACTCGGTTTCAACTCAGAACTATTGTATTTTAATTATATGTCATGAGACTGCATCTTTTCATTCTTTTGCTTCTCCATATTATTGTGCCAAAGTTTTCCCAAAATGGTATTCCCCAAAACTTGAAAATTTTAGGTCATATGGATCATTTAACCAGTCACAAAGCAAAAGTCAATGGGAGGGTCAAAAAGCCAATAATATTACAGTATAAAAAAGCCAATAATAAAAAAGTAGTCATGAGGAAGCTACTGTATTTCTTATTTGTTCTAAATGAGAATAAAAAGTAATGCAACAATACAGGGATACAGCAATACAGCAAGAGTTAATAATATGTGAATGTTAATCATAAATTCATGATCAGACGCCACATCGCCGTTTATCCAAATAGAAAATAACATTATTTTCTTTTTACCAAACCCGCGAAGCGAACAATATATGCATGCACCCCACATTTTTTCTTTTCTTTTTTTTTTCCGCAAAAATATTATTGTTATTACTTTATCATGCAGGGAATCTTTAACATTCTTTGTAATTAATTATCCAGTGAATATAGAAAGTATAGAAAATATGTTATATAGTATTATTTTTTTGATTTTTTTCGTGAATTAGAGTGTACAGTATGTAGTGCTAGCATTTATAATCGATCACGTGTATAAACACTAAAGTTTAAAAAGTTTGTAACGTACGAAATCGAATAGATAGATCAGATGATCTAAATATTGTAAATGCAACAGGTTTTCATCATTACAGCATTACGTAAATGCGTACTCTATGTTGGATTGCGTAATGTAATTCGGGATTTATTTTTATTTTACTTGTTTGTTTAGTTAAATATATTACTAGCTTTTTCAAGTTTTTCAAGTGAATATGATAATATTACTAACTATTTCAAGTGAATATGATAGAAAATTTAGTACGGAGAAATATACGTCATCGTAAAAACCACGCATAAACATTTGTTACAAACAACTGGATCATGCTATCTGCTATAGTATCATACTATACAAAATACTGTAATATATTAATATCGATATGTAGAATACTTTCATTCATAATGTAGAACTCAAACACATGCAAAACTTCTAAGAAATTAGTATTAATTTTTTCTTACAATTTATATTTTTATTGTGCATTTTTTTTTTTTTAGGGGTTATATACAAAGAAGATGGTAGTTAAAAAAAAAAAAAAAAAAACATGATTTAATTTTTTTTTTCTAATAGTAATTTTTTTTTAAATGTCCTTGCGCTATTTTTCTTAATTTTTTCTTGGAGGAAAAGGGAATTCATAATGGAAAAAAAATATACACGGCGAAAATGGAAGAAAAGGTACCATAAAATAAACAATCATTTGTTGTAAAAAAAAAGCATATAAATTTATCGAACATAATAGATTGGATAGCGAAGATGTAAAAGTGAATGGGTACGAAAAAAGGTAAATTAAAAATGAAAGTAGATGAGGATTGTGCGGTGTTGTTTTTTTTTTGATGGAGAGAAAAATATAGAATAAACTATCAATTATAAGAAATATTAATAACATCAAGAATAATAAAGAATAATATCGAGGAAATATCGAGGATAATATCAAGAATGATATCGAAAGAAAAAAAATGTCGAAGAATAATGTCAAGAATAATGAAATAATAATATCAAGAATAACATCAATAATTAATATCAATATTTCTTTTTTTTTCTTTTTTTTTTTTCTTTTTTGCTTTTTTTTTTGTTTTTTTGTAAAAAGTCTATAGATAATTATTTAACAAGTAATCTTCCTCCAATGCAATGCAAAGAGAGAGAAAATAATACAAAAAAAAAAAAAGTTACAAAACGTAGGTGTAAATTCGTATATCCCATTCAATTCCAAAATCCAACCCAATTTTTGTTCCTTTTGTTTATTTTTTGACCTTTTTGTTCCTTTTTTCACTTTGACCAAGAATAATTAAAAAATTTTTTTTCCATGAACTCCCATATTTCTCCTTAATAATAAAAAGGAATGTTTTTAAATATTAAAAACCACACTAGAACACCAATTTACAATTTCTCGAACGTTATTAACAATGTTTACAGCTCTGTCCACAATTCCTTGTTCATTTGAGTCACCTTGTAAAGGTTGTATTATTCCTGGATCTTGATCATTCAATGGAGCGTTTGGTATTGGTGGTGGTATTGTTGGTATTGGATATGATGGTGCTTCAAAATAATCAAACCCCATGTCAATATCATCAACATCTAAATCATCATCATCAAATGTCCAAGGCGGAGTTGTTGAATATGAAGAAGTAGATGAAGTAGTGGTAGTTGAACAACGTTTACTACTCGAATATACACCATAGTTAATAGAATCGGATTTTAATTTTGTGGGTGCAAGTTTACATATAGTTGAACAATCCCTTTTTTTCTTTTTTAAAGAAATGTTCATCTCTAAACCTTCATCACTGCTACTACTATCAAGATCAGAATCGTAAAGATCTTCATCTTCATCAGCAGAATCGACAGCAATACATTGTTCAACTTGGTCATTAAAACGAATGTGATGTTGTTGTACAATACTATCTTCAGCGACAGGAGGTAAAAGAGCAGATCTTGTAGGACCAGCTAAAGGAGTAGAAGGACCCGATATTGAAGAGCAAGTAGAAGAAGTATCACAATCACTAACATCACTATCGTCAACTTTTTTTTCACGAAGTTTTTTATATAATTGAGTATCGGAATTACTAGAAATTAAATGAGATCTTTTTGGACGTAAAGTTTCAGGAAACGATTTTTCCTTTTTCAAACATGATTTGTATGATTTGTGACGTGTTGAAGAAGGCATTAAATTTAATTCGTCTTCGGTTGTAGGAGTTTCTTGACAATTTGTTTCATACCCTGAATGCCAAGCAGTATGTAAGGGACCATATAGCCAGGTTACATCACTGTCTTTAAGCCTATTTTATATTAATTTAAGTATACGAAATCTTGTTAATATATGTATGTTATATATATTAATATATATCAGAAATATATCATATCTTGAATATATATATATTTATATACAATATACAATATATAAATATATATTCAAAATATAATATATGTATATATATTCATCAAAGATATTCATCAAAGATATTTAAAATATATATAATATATATATATATATATATATATATTCATCAAAGATATTTGAGATCGAAAAATACATACCAATTAAGTTTTTCAGGGTTTACAGTTTTAAGGTTATACTTTTGCTTAGCCCAAGTTCTCCAAGAGGCATTCTCTAGACGGATTCCATTAGCGATTTCCTTTTTCTGCTTTGACATGACTCTCCAAGAAGTCCAGATATCATCTTCTTTATTCCACTCATGAGAAAGATAGTCAACACAAATCTTGGGAGGACGTTGAGGGATACCGTTATCGTCAGGTGTCATTATTACAGGTTGAATAGAATGATTATAAAGTAATTGATGTTGGTTTTTATTAGATTTTTCAACAATAGGTTTTGATTTTAAAATTTTATTGTTAGTGAATGCAGAAGTCTTGCGGGCAGAAACTGCCACGCTTTCGTGGTTTGTTATTATCGAAGGCAGCTTGATAAGAGGAGTGTTGACTATTTTTAAAGTCGAAAACTATTGACGAAGATGAATAGTTCGAGTAAAGAGGATAGAGGAGAGGAGAGGAGAGGGTGAGAGAAAAAGCGGACCGTCTAAATATCTAGAAAAGGACCGAGAAATATTGATAAATATATAAGATAACGCAACAAT